GGATCCATCTGGAGGAGGCACCTGGATCAGCTAAGGCACAGACAGCCATCCGGAACTAATCCTCAAGCCGACACGCAAGGGTCTGGCATAGGCGCAGCTCAGCCAGCCCTAAACCCGCAACCGTGTTCAAATGTTCAAAATCCTCCAGCCTTCCCCAATTCAGGCCAGCCTAGCCACTCAGCAAGGGTAGAAAACCCTGATGTGTCAGTCACTGCTCCTCAAACCGTGCTCGAACACCCCCACCCAGTTAGCTTAGGTCAATGTAGACCTAATCCGCCCCATTCACAGGCCGCCTTCCGGCCTAATCACAATCCGTCAACATCCTCGGCCGCACCCCCTTCGCCCAGCTTACCATTCAGTTGCAGTCATCCATTCAGGAATTCAGGGCCATCAGATGTCACCTGGAGCTCTACTCCCCAAAGGGAGGAGCTCAGACAGGGACATCCTTCCGAAGATCCGCCTGCATTGCAATTGCAGCGGTCGGGGCGTGTCCGCCATTCTCCTGCATATTTAGAAGGCTACGCGTGCGCAAATCTCACGCATGCACACAGCTGGGGGGGGAAGAAGTGTTGTATAGTAAAGAAAGTCCTCGCTCTTGTGAACGACAGCTCGGTAGCAGCCAGGCGCGTCTTACCCAATCAGATACGCCTGTCAGTTGCCGAGCTGTCAAGTGCGAGTCTGCTGGAATATAAAAGGCAGGCTCTTTCCAACCGCCACCCAATCTACTTCGCAGCAGCCGAACATACCGGTCTACTCAGAGCTGCGGAAGACACCGGTCTACCACACAGACCTCCCTATCTACTTCACAGACTACCCGGTCTACTGTCTCCCTATCCACTTCACAGACTACCCGGTTTACTGGTTCCCTATCTACTTCACAGACCACCCGGTCTACCGGTTCCCTATCTACTTCACAGACTACCCGGTCTACTGGCTCCCTGGGTCTACTGGCCCCTAGCTACTTCACAGACCACCCGGTCTACTGGCTCCCTATCCACTTCACAGACTACCCGGTCTACTGGTTCCCTATCTACTACACAGACTACCCGGTCTACCGGCTCCCTAGGTCTACTGGCCCCCTGTCTACTTCACAGACTACCCGGTCTACTGGCCCCTATCTACTTCACAGACTACCCGGTCTACATCTACTTCACAGACTACCCGGTCTACTGTTATATTCATTTCTGTTTACCGCGCGTCCAGCCCGGTCTACTTGCGTTACTTGTTACAAAGTTAATAGTGAATTAAAGTGGTTACAGTGCTACCGTTACAACGAGCCTCTGTCTTCATTCTGAAGTTACAATAGTATGTATGTATGTATGTATGTATGTATGTATGTATGTATGTATGTATGTA